GGCCTGCTGCAGGACAGAGGACCCCGGCCACGGCTGGCATGTCCAGGTAGGACTTCCATTCCAAGTCAGGGCTCAGGTTGTCTCCACACAGACTCCCCAACTCTTGCCACAGGACCCACGGCTTCTTGGGACAGGCGACCCTCTCCCATGTGGACATCCCCACCCACCCCAGCTCTAGAATTCTTCTCTTTGTACTGTGAATGTCTGGGCTTCGTTTCATTCCCCTGTAAAATGGCAGGAAAATATCGGCCCTGCCTGGATTCTTGCTCTTAATACAAGAGACTTAATAATTCCCCCCAAATTAAGCAAGGATCACAGGGACTCCCCTGAGGACAATCGCTGTGTCTCACAGCTGGTCCCACCCAGGTGTCTAACACTAAGTAGGAATCCATGTTCAGAGACCAGGACTCTGAAGATGAGCTCCCCTAGGAGGCCGATTTGCTCAACCGGCTACTTGGAGAGAAATCTGGCCACCATTCCCACTCTTCGTATCCTGCGTGGAAATTCTGAGTCTGGCCTCAAAAGCAACCCCACAGCACCAGAAGCAAGGCAGATAACTAAGGCACTGCAGAGAAGCCATCACCCAGTCGCACACCATTGGCTGGGAATGTCCAGTGGACCCTGGGTCCTGAGAGACAAAATCAAAGGAAACTGTTGGAAAGGAGATAGAATTAAAGTAGGTTTCCCGCGCACCTCAATACCCTGTCTCATGAAACACCACCTCCCAATGCCCACTCTTCCATTACTTCATCCACTGCCATGGACATACCACAGACCCCCGAGCACACACCTGTGTCCGGATGCATTTTGACTTTACTTGAATTGTTATTCAATGGGTTATTCCATTACTAAATTAAATTATCTTACAGACCATTCCCCCATCCACCCATATATACCCAATAGGCCTAACCATACAAAAAAAAAAATCAGGACACTTCTGAGCATGAAATCAGGAAGATTCATTGTGCCAGGTCAAGTGATCTACACCAGGACTGCCCTAAACGAGTACGAACATAAAACCAGCCCAGAACCAGTGAATTTTTTTCAGCAGCTACATCCTAGTTCAATGAATGAAAAGTCTTAATTTGTGTAACCCGTATCGTGGGGCAGATTTCGAAGATGCTTTCAGGCTTTTGCCATCACAGTGAATACCCTTGAACATGTCTCCCAGAGCTCGACGTTAAATCACTTAACCTCACATCAGCACTTAGATGTGCTCATGGAGATACTAAACATTGTCACCAGGCGACAGGTGAAGACTTTGAATAGTCCATGTAGCAGGAGTGTGATTTTGAGACCAGTTGTTCCTCGAGTTTGGGTGAGTTAAAAGACAAGAGTTTGTCCCAATGGATCTGTTAGCCTAGAAGGACCAAATAGTTTCCTTCACTTGGAACAGTCTGAG